ATATAGCAAAGCATCAATTTGATTGAGCACCTTGGAATTCCTCTAGAGATCTACAGTCTCACTACTAATCTCCAAGGGGAACTCAAGGTTATATATTTGATTGTTAATTACACTAATTTAAACTTTGAGAGCATTATCAAAATTTTGTAATTTATTTTAATTTTCAAATTTTTATTGCAATTCGTAATTTCTTTAATTAATTAAAACAAAAATGCTATTAACTTCGTTGATGCAGAATACTATAATTTTAATTTTTTATACTTTATATCGATAGTATTTTATGAATATGTGTACATACATGTGTATATATACCATATATACATATATATGTACATATATATTTTATTAAATTTAATTTATTGTTACTAAATTTTTTATTTTATTTTTGTTTATTTTAACTTTTTATAGGATGGTTTATTTCTGTCTTTAATTTTACTCATTATTTTTATTTTATTTTAAAGTATTCGATGTAATTTTTAATTATTATATAATATTTTTTTCATTAGCAAAACCTTTTTTGTGTAATTTATTTCATTTCTAAAAACCATAAAAAATGTTACTCATACGCAATGTTGCACGCGTATCATTTTTTGACAATTTAATCTACCCATTTTTTATTATATTTAATATGTTGTATTATTAAATATAATGAAAAATGGGTGGCTTTCGGAGTTAACGATTTAATTACAAATAAAGTTATTTTTACGTTTGTAACGTGTATATCAATAATTATTATATATTTAGTTATTAAACATTTAAATATGCTTATTAATCCTTCAATTTCCACTATTTTCAGGGAACAAATTTTGCGTGTGAAAAATGACGAAAGCATACCGTTTCTGTTGGTGGGCAACAAATGCGATTTGAACGACAAACGCAAAGTGCCGCTGAACGAATGCCAGACACGTGCCCAACAGTGGCAGGTGCCCTACGTGGAGACCTCAGCCAAGACGCGTGAAAACGTCGACAAGGTAAGTGCGTCGTGTTGTGTGTGTGTGTGAGTGCGTGCGTGTATGCATTATTTTATGTGCGTATATGCAGTTGTATTGTTTCTCACGAAACTATTGGCATTATCTATATATAATATATTTTGCAATTCTTTCGCGTAAATACGAGCGCTGAACTCCGTCATATTGCTGTGCTGTGCGTCTCTTTCGTTTCACTTCTTATTTTATTAGATCTTCATTGACATGATTTCCTCAGTTTTCACATGACTGCAGTTCACAGTTGATCGCCCTTTCTTTTTTGTTTTTGTTATTGCTCAATACTTTGCTTTGAACCACACACACATTTTTATGTGCGCTAAAGCAATATTATACCGTTATATTTATATTAATCGTATTTTTTGTGAAAACGCGCTCTTTTGTTGTTGTTTTTGATGTCGTTCAATTTTAGTTTGTTTTTTACATGTATATTCTTTCATTAATTTTTTATTTGCGTTTGTTGTAGTGCAACAAAAAGTTAACAGAATTAAAAATTAATAAAAAACTAAGCAGGCTAATACATATGTATACTGTTATTTGTAGTCACCGGCGTTGCCAGCATAATCTGCAAACTACCAGCAATTTGTTTGTCTCACACACTTTGTCACTTCGTCCTCAAGTTCAGCTTACACACATAGAGAAATTCACATACCCCACATATTGTTTATATACTCAATAATATTGATAATATCAAACACACT